ATTTTTCCCCCCCCCCCCCCCCTTGTGTGCAGCCTGCGCAGTAGTGCCTCCACTCCAATCCTGAAAGCTTCTGCAGCAGCCAAGGTACGCAGACGCGTGTTAGCCTGGAGTTATATTCACGCATTCTCGTGTGAAGCGCTCGTACGAAGCGCTTCGAACCACCTTGCATGCCCTTCTGCGCGCTTGCATTCCTCCCCCCCCCAAAAAAAAACAAATCACATGCGATGTGTTGCATCCACTCACCATGCCTGCCCTCTGCCCTCTGCTTGCTGTCTACAGATGCCTGCAACCGCCTCCCGACCGCAGTCCGCGCGACGTAGGGACAGCCTGCAGCTTGGCTCAGATACGAGCATGCAGACACGCACGTCCAAGTTCGACTTTCAGCCGCCGCCAGTCAGCCCGGCTTCCAAGCGCACCGTGCGGCGTCCTCACGACAATCTTCGCCCAGCGGGCGCCCTGAGCCGCAACACCACATCCTCCGAGTATGGCAGTGCAAGCAGCACGGCGCCAACCAGCCCAGCAGCCTCTGCTCCCCAGCAGCAGCCAAGCACCCGCCCCCGCATCACCCGTGTGCAATCTGGACGCAAGAATTCTGCGTCGCCGCTCAAGAAGCCGAGCAGCACCAGCGCAGAACCGCTACTGCCTGCAAGCACCAAGCAACAGCAGCAGCAACAGCCGCAATCCCGCCGCCCAAAGGTCAAGCGCGTGCCCATCAACCGCGACTCAGCGTCGCGCAAATCCTCCCAGTCACGCCCACGTGACAACCTTCGTTTTGAGGGGGAGCGCGAGCGCGAGACAGAGTCGTCGCAGTACCGTGCGCCGGTGAGCGGTGAGCGGCAGGGGCCTGTTCGCCACCGTGACAGCCTGGTGTTTGATGGGCAGGACGAGCCTGCGACGACTGTGATGCGGTCTGACTTTGGCGCCAAGGGCACGAGCGAGCGTGCGACGCCATCACGTGCACGTGACAACCTTCGTTTTGAGGGGGAGCGCGAGCGTGAGACGGAATCGTCGCAGTACCGTGCGCCGGTGGGCGGTGAGCGGCAGGGGCCTGTTCGCCACCGTGACAGCCTGGTGTTTGATGGGCAGGACGAGCCTGCGACGACTGTGATGCGGTCTGACTTTGGCGCCAAGGGCACGAGCGAGCGTGCGACGCCATCACGTGCACGTGACAACCTTCGTTTTGAGGGGGAGCGCGAGCGCGAGACGGAATCGTCGCAGTACCGTGCGCCGGTGGGCGGTGAGCGGCAGGGGCCTGTTCGCCACCGTGACAGCCTGGTGTTTGATGGGCAGGACGAGCCTGCGACGACTGTGATGCGGTCTGACTTTGGCGCCAAGGGCACGAGCGAGCGTGCGACGCCATCACGTGCACGTGACAGCCTTCGTTTTGAGGGGGAGCGCGAGCGTGAGACGGAATCGTCGCAGTACCAGTGGCCACCATCGCTCACAGAGCGGTTGAACGACCTTGAGCTTGAACCCGTGGTGCCCATGTCGTCCACACCTTCCAAGCCCGTCGAGGTCTCGTTTGCCGCCGTGAGCGCTCCAGCCGCTGCCCCTGCACAGGCGCAGGAGGTTGAAGAGCAGCCACCTGTGGTGGAACCGGCAAAGCCCATCGCTGTCGCTGATGACGCGCCACTGATTGCAGAGCTCAGATCGCCAATCAACCCAGTTGACTCGCTCGCCTTCAGAGGAGAAAGATTGAACGAAAGCACGACAGTGACGACGTTTACGGCGCCCGTCGGAGCAGAGCGTCCGAAGAGCGCGCGGCGTGCGGACACGCTGAGGGGCGCGGGAGGGTGAGCTTGAGCGGAGCACGACGACCAAAGAGACGTTTGTTGGCGTGAGCGGGGAGCGCCCTGCGGCGTACGGGGACGTTGATCACCTTGTGCCTGAGGCAGGTGCGCGCGTTGAGGGGGCGAGCACGACGGTGACGACGTTTACGGCGCCCGTCGGAGCAGAGCGTCCGAAGAGCGCGCGGCGTGCGGACACGCTGACGGGCGGGGAGGGTGAGCTTGAGCGGAGCACGACGACGAAGGAGACGTTTGTTGGTGTGAGCGGGGAGCGCCCTGCGGCGTACGGGGACGTTGACCACCTTGTGCCTGAGGAAGGTGCGCGCGTTGAGGGGGCGAGCACGACGGTGACGACGTTTACGGCGCCCGTCGGAGCAGAGCGTCCGAAGAGCGCGCGGCGTGCGGACACGCTGAGGGGCGGGGAGGGTGAGCTTGAGCGGAGCACGACGACGAAGGAGACGTTTGTTGGCGTGAGCGGGGAGCGCCCTGCGGCGTACGGGGACGTTGATCACCTTGTGCCTGAGGAAGGTGCGCGCGTTGAGGGGGCGAGCACGACGGTGACGACGTTTACGGCGCCCGTTCGGAGCAGAGCGTCCGAAGAGCGCGCGGCGTGCGGACACGCTGAGGTGGCGGGGAGGATGAGCTTGAGCGGAGCTCGACGACGAAGGAGACGTTTGTTGGCGTGAGCGGGGAGCGCCCTGCGGCGTACGGGGACGTTGACCACCTTGTGCCTGAGGAAGGTGCGCGCGTTGAGGGGGCGAGCACGACGGTGACGACGTTTACGGCGCCCGTCGGAGCAGAGCGTCCGAAGAGCGCGCGGCGTGCGGACACGCTGAGGGGCGGGGAGGGTGAGCTTGAGCGGAGCCCGACGACGAAGGAGACGTTTGTTGGCGTGAGCGGGGAGCGTCCTGCCGGCGTACGGGGACGTTGATCACCTTGTCCCTAAGGCAGGTGCGGCGCGTTGAGGGGGCGAGCACGACGGTGACGACGTTTACGGCGCCCGTCGGAGCAGAGCGTCCGAAGAGCGCGCGGCGTGCGGACACGCTGACGGGCGGGGAGGGTGAGCTTGAGCGGAGCACGACGACGAAGGAGACGTTTGTTGGTGTGAGCGGGGAGCGCCCTGCGGCGTACGGGGACGTTGACCACCTTGTGCCTGAGGAAGGTGCGCGCGTTGAGGGGGCGAGCACGACGGTGACGACGTTTACGGCGCCCGTCGGAGCAGAGCGTCCGAAGAGCGCGCGGCGTGCGGACACGCTGAGGGGCGGGGAGGGTGAGCTTGAGCGGAGCACGTCGACGAAGGAGACGTTTGTTGGCGTGAGCGGGGAGCGCCCTGCGGCGTACGGGGACGTTGATCACCTTGTGCCTGAGGAAGGTGCGCGCGTTGAGGGGGCGAGCACGACGGTGACGACGTTTACGGCGCCCGTCGGAGCAGAGCGTCCGAAGAGCGCGCGGCGTGCGGACACGCTGAGGGGCGGGGAGGGTGAGCTTGAGCGGAGCACGACGACGAAGGAGACGTTTGTTGGCGTGAGCGGGGAGCGCCCTGCGGCGTACGGGGACGTTGATCACCTTGTGCCTGAGGAAGGTGCGCGCGTTGAGGGGGCGAGCACGACGGTGACGACGTTTACGGCGCCCGTCGGAGCAGAGCGTCCGAAGAGCGCGCGGCGTGCGGACACGCTGAGGGGCGGGGAGGGTGAGCTTGAGCGGAGCACGACGACGAAGGAGACGTTTGTTGGCGTGAGCGGGGAGCGTCCTGCGGCGTACGGGGACGTTGATCACCTTGTGCCTGAGGAAGGTGCGCGCGTTGAGGGGGCGAGCACGACGGTGACGACGTTTACGGCGCCCGTCGGAGCAGAGCGTCCGAAGAGCGCGCGGCGTGCGGACACGCTGAGGGGCGGGGAGGGTGAGCTTGAGCGGAGCACGACGACGAAGGAGACGTTTGTTGGTGTGAGCGGGGAGCGCCCTGCGGCGTACGGGGACGTTGACCACCTTGTGCCTGAGGAAGGTGCGCGCGTTGAGGGGGCGAGCACGACGGTGACGACGTTTACGGCGCCCGTCGGAGCAGAGCGTCCGAAGAGCGCGCGGCGTGCGGACACGCTGAGGGGCGGGGAGGGTGAGCTTGAGCGGAGCACGACGACGAAGGAGACGTTTGTTGGCGTGAGCGGGGAGCGCCCTGCGGCGTACGGGGACGTTGATCACCTTGTGCCTGAGGAAGGTGCGCGCGTTGAGGGGGCGAGCACGACAGTGACGACGTTTACGGCGCCCGTCGGAGCAGAGCGTCCGAAGAGCGCGCGGCGTGCGGACACGCTGAGGGGCGGGGAGGGTGAGCTTGAGCGGAGCACGACGACGAAGGAGACGTTTGTTGGCGTGAGCGGGGAGCGCCCTGCGGCGTACGGGGACGTTGACCACCTTGTGCCTGAGGAAGGTGCGCGCGTTGAGGGGGCGAGCACGACGGTGACGACGTTTACGGCGCCCGTCGGAGCAGAGCGTCCGAAGAGCGCTCGGCGTGCGGACACGCTGAGGGGCGGGGAGGGTGAGCTTGAGCGGAGCACGACGACGAAGGAGACGTTTGTTGGCGTGAGCGGGGAGCGCCCTGCGGCGTACGGGGACGTTGACCACCTTGTGCCTGAGGAAGGTGCGCGCGTTGAGGGGGCGAGCACGACGGTGACGACGTTTACGGCGCCCGTCGGAGCAGAGCGTCCGAAGAGCGCGCGGCGTGCGGACACGCTGAGGGGCGGGGAGGGTGAGCTTGAGCGGAGCACGACGACGAAGGAGACGTTTGTTGGCGTGAGCGGGGAGCGCCCTGCGGCGTACGGGGACGTTGATCACCTTGTGCCTGAGGAAGGTGCGCGCGTTGAGGGGGCGAGCACGACGGTGACGACGTTTACGGCGCCCGTCGGAGCAGAGCGTCCGAAGAGCGCGCGGCGTGCGGACACGCTGAGGGGCGGGGAGGGTGAGCTTGAGCGGAGCACGACGACGAAGGAGACGTTTGTTGGTGTGAGCGGGGAGCGTCCTGCGGCGTACGGGGACGTTGATCACCTTGTGCCTGAGGCAGGTGCGCGCGTTGAGGGGGCGAGCACGACGGTGACGACGTTTACGGCGCCCGTCGGAGCAGAGCGTCCGAAGAGCGCGCGGCGTGCGGACACGCTGACGGGCGGGGAGGGTGAGCTTGAGCGGAGCACGACGACGAAGGAGACGTTTGTTGGTGTGAGCGGGGAGCGCCCTGCGGCGTACGGGGTACGTTGACCACCTTGTGCCTGAGGAAGGTGCGCGCGTTGAGGGGGCGAGCACGACGGTGACGACGTTTACGGCGCCCGTCGGAGCAGAGCGTCCGAAGAGCGCGCGGCGTGCGGACACGCTGAGGGGCGGGGAGGGTGAGCTTGAGCGGAGCACGACGACGAAGGAGACGTTTGTTGGCGTGAGCGGGGAGCGCCCTGCGGCGTACGGGGACGTTGATCACCTTGTGCCTGAGGAAGGTGCGCGCGTTGAGGGGGCGAGCACGACGGTGACGACGTTTACGGCGCCCGTCGGAGCAGAGCGTCCGAAGAGCGCGCGGCGTGCGGACACGCTGAGGGGCGGGGAGGGTGAGCTTGAGCGGAGCACGACGACGAAGGAGACGTTTGTTGGCGTGAGCGGGGAGCGCCCTGCGGCGTACGGGGACGTTGATCACCTTGTGCCTGAGGAAGGTGCGCGCGTTGAGGGGGCGAGCACGACGGTGACGACGTTTACGGCGCCCGTCGGAGCAGAGCGTCCGAAGAGCGCGCGGCGTGCGGACACGCTGAGGGGCGGGGAGGGTGAGCTTGAGCGGAGCACGACGACGAAGGAGACGTTTGTTGGCGTGAGCGGGGAGCGCCCTGCGGCGTACGGGGACGTTGATCACCTTGTGCCTGAGGAAGGTGCGCGCGTTGAGGGGGCGAGCACGACGGTGACGACGTTTACGGCGCCCGTCGGAGCAGAGCGTCCGAAGAGCGCGCGGCGTGCGGACACGCTGAGGGGCGGGGAGGGTGAGCTTGAGCGGAGCACGACGACGAAGGAGACGTTTGTTGGCGTGAGCGGGGAGCGTCCTGCGGCGTACGGGGACGTTGATCACCTTGTGCCTGAGGAAGGTGCGCGCGTTGAGGGGGCGAGCACGACGGTGACGACGTTTACGGCGCCCGTCGGAGCAGAGCGTCCGAAGAGCGCGCGGCGTGCGGACACGCTGAGGGGCGGGGAGGGTGAGCTTGAGCGGAGCACGACGACCAAGGAGACGTTTGTTGGCGTGAGCGGGGAGCGCCCTGCGGCGTACGGGGACGTTGACCACCTTGTGCCTGAGGAAGGTGCGCGCGTTGAGGGGGCGAGCACGACGGTGACGACGTTTACGGCGCCCGTCGGAGCAGAGCGTCCGAAGAGCGCGCGGCGTGCGGACACGCTGAGGGGCGGGGAGGGTGAGCTTGAGCGGAGCACGACGACGAAGGAGACGTTTGTTGGCGTGAGCGGGGAGCGCCCTGCGGCGTACGGGGACGTTGACCACCTTGTGCCTGAGGAAGGTGCGCGCGTTGAGGGGGCGAGCACGACGGTGACGACGTTTACGGCGCCCGTCGGAGCAGAGCGTCCGAAGAGCGCGCGGCGTGCGGACACGCTGAGGGGCGGGGAGGGTGAGCTTGAGCGGAGCACGACGACGAAGGAGACGTTTGTTGGTGTGAGCGGGGAGCGCCCTGCGGCGTACGGGGACGTTGATCACCTTGTGCCTGAGGAAGGTGCGCGCGTTGAGGGGGCGAGCACGACGGTGACGACGTTTACGGCGCCCGTCGGAGCAGAGCGTCCGAAGAGCGCGCGGCGTGCGGACACGCTGAGGGGCGGGGAGGGTGAGCTTGAGCGGAGCACGACGACGAAGGAGACGTTTGTTGGCGTGAGCGGGGAGCGCCCTGCGGCGTACGGGGACGTTGACCACCTTGTGCCTGAGGAAGGTGCGCGCGTTGAGGGGGCGAGCACGACGGTGACGACGTTTACGGCGCCCGTCGGAGCAGAGCGTCCGAAGAGCGCGCGGCGTGCGGACACGCTGAGGGGCGGGGAGGGTGAGCTTGAGCGGAGCACGACGACCAAGACCGCTTACCGCACGTTTGTGTTTGTCCGCGAACACGCATCGACGCATAAAGTGTCCGTAACCGAGTCAAAGGCCTGCGACACGGCCGAGTATGTGGACCTCAAACCCATCAACTTCGAACTCGCCGCGTGATTGTGGCAGTTGGCAGTTTACATGTTCTCGATGTGGCTGCTCATTGGTTTTTTGTTGCCTGAATTGCCTGTCTACCTTTCTTGCCTTGCCTTCCTTCCTTGCCTGCTTCTTGTGCCATCTTTTTGCGTTATTTCTTCTTACATGCTGGTGTTGACCAGCCAAGATGATGTTCGTGTTGCTTGTTGTTTGGGTGTAGCCTTCTTGCTTGCATCCGCCCATCAGCTCACCACTGCAAATCACCGTGGACGTCATGGCATGTGATGGCATGTCCCACGGCTTTGTGTTTCCTCTTGCGGTGCGTAGTTTGTGCCCAATTGCGTTCTCTTCACTCATCTTCTTGAAGTTGATCGTTTGTTGCTGATGAATGTGTTTGGTTTCACTTTGAATGAACGGGCGACACGATGACAGCATGTGACAACTCCGCTTCCACACACAGCGCACCTTTCAACTACCACACAAACAACAGAGCGCACCACAATGCACGCTGGCACGACGAAGCAAGAAAGATGATACTCATTCCTGGAAGTATTTGTCCTTGAGGGACACAAGTTTGAGGTGTTGTTGCGACACACTGGACTTGAGATCCTGTGCCGCGCACAGTGCATTCTTTGTGCGCTCCACTGTGTTGCGCAAATCAGCGATGGTGGTCTGCAACTGCGCCTTGTGTTGTTCAACCTGTTAAAGGGGGTGCATGCATGTCAGCGTATGTCAATGTGTACATGTGCGTGGAGAGGGCGGGATGCATGCGTCATTGTGATCAGAGTGCACGCAAAGAATTGCGTTAAGAAGCACAACGTACAGCGTCTGCGAGCTTCTGCTGTGTTTCGCTCAGGTCGAGCTGGATGCTGTCCTTTGCGTCGCGCGCGCGGGACGACGCAGTCACCTTGAGTTTCTCTTGCGCATGGGCCGCAAACTGTTGTCTGAACAGTCGCTCCTGTTCAGACAAGGCATGTGCACATGTACGTGGGCGTGCGCGATGGATGAGAGATCAGAGGAACGCAGACAGCCAAGCAGGTGCTTGATGCATCGCAGTGCAAGGCACGCGTCTGACCTTTGCCGCCGTTGTGAAGCTCATGTACTCATATGCATACGTCGCCGTGTACACGAAGATGCAGCCACCAATCAGATTCCGGATCATCGGCCTGTCATACAACGACAACAGCGCGACGATGAAACGGCGACATAACGATAACACAAAACGTTTAGCTTCGAGCCACCATCAATCAGCAGTTCACAGATACAACAGGTATGCTCTCAGACAGACAGGCAGGTAGACAAACATGGACGCGCGCGCACACACACACACACACACACACACACACACACACACACACACACACACACACACACACACACACACACACACACACACACACAACACGCACCTGCGGACGAGGCGGTATGCGTATGGGAGGCTTGCAGCAACCATCAGACCGTACGGCGTGTGCGTTGTGATGTCCCAGCAAATGTATGCCACGTCAAATGCAAAGCGTGACAGCCTGCCTGTGAGTCTCCTTGGCTGGCTGGGAGCAGAATCCTGGTCGTCCGCGAAACAAAAACAACAACAACAACAACAACAACAACAACAACAACAACAACAACAACAACAACAACAACAACAACAACAACAACAACAACAACAACAACAACAACAAACAACACAGAAACCAGTGAGCTTGGAAGGCAAGGTCGTGTGTTGTTCGCTTATGGCGATGACAACAGCATGGCTGTCAAGAGCATGTGGCGCAAGGGTACCAACATGCACTACAACTCACCAGCGCCTGCGCGTCGTCCTCAACACGCGCTTCAGCTCTGTTGGCTGCCGTCCGGATCGGGGATCGTTCACGAACATGAGCGAAAGTACCAGTGATGAGTTCGAAAAAGAGCGCAAGTACATGGTTGGATAGGGTGGGGCACACAAACAGCCAAGACTAGGTTACACGCAGACACAGACACGGAGAGATAGAAAGAGACAAAGATGTTTACATCAAAAAAAAAAAAAAGAGAAAGAGAGATGGAGCAATAGACAGATAGACAGACACAAACACAGACACAACACAACTATACAGACATAGCACACAGACAGACAGACAGACAGACAGACAGACAGACAGACACACACAGCGCAGGCGGAGCACCTTGTGAGCGGAAGGCGCGCTTGTAGCTGAGAGAGAAGCGGCTGAAGAGATCAGAGGTGAACGTTTCCAGTGTCAGTCGCACGGCATCAGGCACAAATGCACCGAGGGACTGCCATCCCCAGCTGAAGTGAAACGCAAGGTCCTCGCTGCCACCATCAAGCGCACATGAGCAGTCCAGAAGTGAGCAAGTTTGCCGGTGGAGGGGATGTGTGAGTGGGATGAGGGTGTGTGTGTGAGTGGGATGAGGGTGTGTGTGTGTGTGTGGCGGTGTGTGTGTGTGTGTGTGTGTGTGTGTGTGTGTGTGTGTGTGTGTGTGTGTGTGAGGGGGAGTGGAGGGGTGAGGGAGGGTGAAATGGGCCGGGGAAGATGCACTTGTGCGCGCATGGGCGCGCATGGGCGCACATGCGCGTGTGGGATGTATTGCGGAAACGAGCAAGCAGGAGAGAGCATCGCCGCCAAATGGCGAGGAGGGGTTGGCGACGCACTGAAAGTTTTCTGGCAAGTGTGTGCAGTCGAGAGTCATGTTGCTTCGGAAAGCCATCTGCACCTGCAAGGAGACAAGCAGCAACACACGTGCCCCGCGGCAACAAGGGTGGTGGTGCTGTTGTGAGAACAAGGGCGTGGCAAGTGCCATCAGGGCAAGGCACCACATCGCCAAAGAAGGGGACGAACACCAGCGAAATGCGGACGTGTGTACGCACGTAGCGCTCGGGCGAGGAGTTTTCCGGCAACAGCTCCTTGAAAAGCGCAGTGATGTCCTGGTGGTGATGGCGGTGGTGGTGGCGGTGGTGGCGGTGAGAAGGAAGATCGGTGGCAATGGAAGGGTTGGATGATAATAGAGAGATGGGAAAAGGAGGGTGACAGCAACGCAGGGGCAATGAATGGCCGGGGGTGGGGGGTGAGAAAGATGTGGAAGTGAAGGCAGTGACTAGTAACGATGTCACAGATGAGAAAGCAGAGCGTTGGTACGAACCGTAAACGCCTTTGAGTAGAGTTGCTGGACATGGGGGGCACACGAGTCATTCAACTCAACCTGCAAAGTAAAATGTTGGCACAAGCAAGGCACGCAGTGAGGCACGCGATGAAGTATGTGGCGAGGCATGTGGTGAAGCAAGCTGCATCGGGTAGACAGGGCGTGCACACACACACACACACACACACACACACACACACACACACACACACACACACACACACACACACACACACACACACACACCGACCTGCAGTTGTGATTCGACGTGTGTGCTGAGCTCCTGCTTCTCCAACTCGATGCTCTCCTCGTCCTCAAAGTCCGACAGTGACATGAAGTCGTCCACAATGCTGCGACGCGCAGCCATCATCATCGCGGACGGTATGTGTGTGTGTGTGTGTGCGTGCGTGCGCGCATGTGTGTGAGGGGATATGTGTGTGTGTGTGTATGTGTGTGTGAGAATGTGCGCATGAGCGGGAATTGGAATGGGAAAAGAAAGGTGCGACAAGTGTCTGTCCTTGCACCCCATCCCCCACAGCTCACCTTTGGAGACGCTGTGACAATATCTCTGTCATCTTCGTGTGCATGTATCGCTGAACCTTGTCCGGAACAGTGTGGGCGATGCTTGCTGCGCGCTCCACAATGTCGGGGAGCCTGTAGCATTGTGAAGGGATATGAGCGTGTGTCTCTGTGGAACCACGCATGCAACGAATAGCACCTCGCAAAACGGAGCCTTGAACAGCCATGACACCACACCACAATGACATGAAATGCCACGACATAAAAATGACATGAGACCACAGTGACATGACATATCATTGCACGCGCGGGCGTACTTTGCCTGGATTTTGTTGAGTTTGTCGACTGCGGATTTGAGTTTGGCGTTTCGCCGCTCGAGATGGCCATCAAGCGCTTCAACGACCGTACGCATCACGCCCTCACACTCCCGCACAACCTGATGCAAGGTGGCGGTGTTGGTGACGTGGAGGGAGGGTTTGGTGAGAGAGAGAGAGAGTGTGTGTGTGTGTGTGTGCGTGAGTGAGTGAGTGAGTGGATGGATAAGTAATCATAGCACAAGACGCTGTGCCCGCGCACTGCACCTCGAGTCCCTCGACGACTTTGCTGTGGAAGCGCGTGTCAATGGCGTGGCGCGATGTGGCCAGGGCAAACTCTTCCTCAAACACAGAAAACGCCCTGATGGCGATATATGCAAGCACGCCAAATTTGAGATGAGAATGCGGCAGCACTTGCACTCCACGAACAACATGCGCCAGACAGCAGCAAGGCACGCACACATACTTGTACACACACACACACACACACACACACACACACACACACACACACACACACACACACACACACACACACACACACACACACACGCACACGCACACGCACGCACACACACACACAGAGCGTGCTGGCTGACCTCTGATTGTGGGATGAGGTCGAGCGTGTCGACGAGAAGGCGCTTGGCCAGCCCCAGCAGCTGCTTGCGGCTCCGATCGCACCGCTGGCCCTGAACGTCGGCAACAGTGGTGACGGCGAGGGTGAGGATGGTGGTGGCGTGTGTGTGTGCATGTGTGTATGTGTGTGAGTGTGTGAGTGTGTGTGTGCTAACTTTGGGTGCCAGTTCCCAGCGGTTGAACAGCACAAAAACGTTTGGCTTCGAAAACTTGCGCCTGCAAGCAAGCAAAGTGAATTGAATGAGAAGTTGAAGGGGAAAACGTCAATGTCCGCAGCCTCCTCTTGCACATCCAAACTTCGCTCCCACCAACGTACAGACACACGCACACAGACACACGCACACACAAACACCACACTTATCGCACCTGACTTGCTCAAAAAACTCTGTTGCTTCGCGGCCCAGTGCCATCTCGCCGTTCACGACCAGCACAAACACATCTGAAGTGCAGAGGCAAAGAGGAGACAGTTCAGTCGCGGCAAAAAGGACATGTACTTTGGCATGAAGACAGACAGACAAACAGACAGACAGACAGACAGACAGACACAGACACAGACACAGACAGACACATGCGCGCACAGGGCAGCGACCTGCATCCGAGGCGGTGTGATCGATCCAGTCATCAAACTTCTTGTTGAAGCGGAGGCCGGGTGAGTCGAGGATGACAAGGTCGTTGCGCAGCACTTCGCACGCGGACGTCGGCCAGTACAGGTCAAGCTGAGCAGAGGGACACGAGAAGGGGGAGCAGTGGTGGTGGTGTTGGGGTCAGAAGGAGACACACAGAGAGAAACGGTGGGCGCAAGGAGGGGCAGAAGCGTACAGCAGAAGACGGACAAACAAGACGGACGCAGACGCAAACGCGCACGCAGACGCAGACACAGACACAGACACAGACAGACAGACAGACAGACACACACACACACACACAGATGTGCTGCTGCGCCACACTCACCGGATCGCTGATGTCTGCGTCGTCTTCGTCGTCGTCGCCCTCGTGCATATCCGAGAGCGCGTTTGCCAGCTCCTGCAGCTCGGGCAGTTCGTACTGCTTCCCTGTTGATGCGTCAACCAGCCGCGCTGTCGCCTCGCGCGTGGGGTGCAGGCTGCCCAGGGTGGATGGGTGAGTGAGTGAGTGAGTGAGTGAGTGAGTGAGTGAGTACGTGAGTGAGTGAGTGAGTGAGTGAGTGCGTGAGTGAGTGAGTGAGTGAGGGCGCTGGGGGTGCAGTCCAGTCATTGCGTTAGGTAGAAAGGTACGAACTTGATGAAGCGGTTTGTCGTCTGTCCAAACCCAGATGGAAGCACCTGTCAAAAGACACCACAAGACAGTGAGGAATTCTGGAGTGAGCGCCAGCAGCACAGCAGGGCACCTTGTGCAACGACGCACGCCTGCTAACAATAGCATGGCACACCATACAGACTCACACAGACACACGCATACACAGACACACAGACACACGCACACACAGACACACACAATACACACAGACACACACACACGACACACACACACACACACGACACACACACACACACAATACACACACACTTTTCAACCAACCCTGGAGCGCAGAACGGCGTTGATGGAGGTGCTCTTGCCAGCGCTGGTGAGACCGACAAAGACAACCTTCATCGCGTCGCGTGCGACGGCCTGGTCCAGGTCTTGCGCTTTCTGCAGCGCCCCCGCCACCTGCGTCTTGAGCGAGTCTGCGTCGTGCTGGTTCTCGGGCACAATCCACTCTTGCAGACCGCGTTGCATTTGAGCAAGCACGTTCCTGGTCAGGGAGTGAGGGGGAGGGTGAAGGCGAATGGGAACAGCGTGAGCATGCGAGCAAGCATGACGAGCACAAAGGCATGTGTGTTTGTAGGCGGGTCTACGGCTGCGTGTGCTCGTGGTTGAGGCTCTCTGTGCACGTTAACAGGGCTGCAAGTGGGCTTGCGCCTGAGAGCAGCAGGTCACAGCCCGAGCATACACCTGGTGACATACTTGATGTTGTCAAACGCGGAGCGAATGTCGGCCTTGGCTTGCGCGAAGCGCTGCACCACGCGAGCACATTCATCAATCATGTGAGCATTCAAGGCTTGGTGAAACGGGCAACCAAGAGCAAGAGCAAGAACAGCAGATCCGCTGCTGCACCGTCATCTTGCGCCACAGCCATCACAAGCACCGCCACACGCACCACGCACATCAGCAGGGACATCAGCGCGGCCATCACATCACAAGCACCATCGCCATCAAGTCATCACCATCACCATCAGCATCACCATCACCACTCGCATCGCGACACCTCGCCGCGCAATCCCCAGCAAGCCATTGGCACACCAAGGAGACCCTTCCAGTGCGCTTACCTCCAACCCATCCTTGGCCTTGGACGGCGAGTCTGTGATGAGGGCGGCTGGGGGTTCATCGCTGAGCGAGCGCATTGGCCCCTTCTCAGCCGTGTTGGAGTGGCCGTTCATGGACAGCGGCGTTTGTGCAGATTGGGAGCCCACAGCCTGCGGTTGCTCCCCTTGTCTGTTGTTGCTCATCAGACTGGAGCGGGTCGTCAGCTCTCTTCGTCTCGTGTTGCAGCACTACCTCGCCCTCAACCGGCAACGTGGCAAGCAAGTGGCAAAGCGCTACACAGGGGATGGAGGGCAATGACACACACAGGGTGCAAGCAGCAGCAATGGTGCGGAGATGATGGTGGCAGCAGGCAAGAAGTTGATCCACGGCTTACAACACCATAAAGTGCACAACCAAGTGTGTGTGTGTGTGTGTGTGTGTGTGTGTGTGTGTGTGTGTGTGTGTGTGTGTGTGTGTGTGTGTGTGTGTGTGTGTGTGTGTGTGTGTGTGTGTGTGTGTGTGTGTGTGTGTGTGTGTGTGTGCGGCAGCAGGACGCTCGCTACGTGATGTCGCGCACGCGAAAACCACCTCTCCCTAACTACCTCTCCTGCCCATTCAACCAACGTCAAACATGTATTGTGGTTTCCAGCGATAACAGGAACGACATACGGACACACACGCACGCACAAAAAAGAAGACACTGCTGTTTGCCAACAGACACAAAACATTGCCACAATGCGGCCATGAAGAAGCAAAGCAACGGCCCTGGTCAGACAATCTCGTAGCTGGCGGGGGCAAAGGAGACCTCTGAGGAGAAGGTTGTGTCGCCGCCGCCAATGACCTCGACCGAGTTGATCTGCAGCCCTGCATACAGCTTCGACGACGCAAAGTCAACCTGAACAGGGAAGAAGTCGTCCGTATCGCCACCATTTGTCCTGCGCAGCGTGGTGCGTGGTGTTGACATGCAATGTGGCGTGAGCACCACACAACGTCGAATACCACCCACAATCCATCCACGGGCAACGACAGCAGAGCAGTTGGCAGCGAGCGCCACTTACGTAAACTCGATGGAGCCCTCCGGGTTCTCAGAGTCGACAACAGGTATTCTCCACAGCAGTACACCATTGCGGCTGTGTCAAGGGTGTTGCGGATGCGCGCACATTGGTGAGGGTGAAGGTGAAAGAGAAGAAAAACAACCAGGCAACCAAACAACCAAACAACCAAACAATCAGGCAACGAAGCAACCAAACGCACCCACCCACCCACACACACACACACACACCCAGAGCAAACGCCAACGCGCTCCCGCGGCACAGTCACCTGTCGTGGTCGTATGCGCCGTCTGCGCGGGCGACGACGGGGGCACCAGAGTGGGCCGGGAGCGGCACGGTGATGGTCACGTCCTGCAGCTGCAGGTCGTCTGCAAGCAGCTCATAGTCAATGTTCACATCGCACGACCCGTCCGCGTTCGGGTTTGGCCAGCAGTTGACTGGGGCGTAGAAGGGGGTGAGTGGGAAGGGTGGGTGAGCGAGGCAAATCAAGATGGCGCGTGGTGAGGTTCATGCGTGTCATGTGATGATACTCCATGAGCTTGGCACCGCAACCCCAAACCACCACACTCGATGCGCGCACGTAAGCCAGTGCAGCTTACTAGAGAGCGGGATGTGTGCGTCGTCCGTGGTCTGGAAACGCCATTTGAGGACGCCGACGCCCGTGCCAACAGGGAACCCGCGCTCTTTGTCCTTCAGCCCAATCACCCCGCTGCCCCCAAATGTGCGCTTGTCAATGTTCGGATGCGTCTGGTGTTGTCGGCGGGATGAGGGGCAGCGGTGGTGAGGGGCGGCGCGTGTGCAAATGTATGTACACACACACATGTGAGTGCGTGTATGTGTGTGTATGTGTGAGTGTATGTGTGAGTGAGTGAGTGTGTATTTGTGTGCGTTCGTGGCTTGGCGAGTGAGATTTAAGCAGTCGTGCACAAGCGACACCATCCCAATGTTACGGCGCACCTGGTAGGGGATGGACTTTGGTCCCTTATCGCAGTTGATGCGGATACGCGTCACCTCCGGGTCTGACACAAACACGGTCAACGTGCCCTTCACCTGCATTGGCGGTGTTGCAGCAGGAAGAGGAAGAGGAGGAAGGGGAGGAAGAAGCAAAAAGAAGAGACACAGCGTGAGACTTGTACGAGCACGACAACATCAGCACGAGCAAACATGCGCCAGCCGGCGTGTTGCGGAGCCGCACCTCCATGTGTTCGAGGCCGCCGTCCCTGTTGGCTTCAAGCGTAATCTTCTCATCTGCCGCCAAGTGCACGCTGTCACCACCAGTCACAAGCACAAATCTGCGGTCAGCAAAAGCAAAACAAACATCATCCAACACACGGACACACGCACGCACGCACACACAGACACACACACGAACACGCGCATGCACACACACACACACACACACACACAGACACACACACACGAACACGCGCATGCACACACACACGCACACACACCAACCTCTCTCTGTTTGGTGTGGCAACAGGGGCAGCGGCTTGCGTCTTGGACTGAAGGGTGATGGAGACATGGCCAAACAAACGCAGTACCAATAGAACCGCAAGAATGAGTTACACAATATGCGACAGCACACAATCAAGGTTGACAACGTTGAATCGAGCAGCAAAGCACGCAATGGGTGCACACCACAGCGGCAGCAAGCATGTGTGCACGTGTGTATACCGGTGCGATGATGTCTGCAGTGTCTGGTGCGACCTCCTCTCCCTCCTGGATGAGCGCATCAACAAAGTCCTTGCCCTTGGACTTGCCGCCAAGCTTCATGCCACGGCCGGGCCTGTACACAACGTCAAGGTGTGGTGCCGAGCACACAGACACCGAGTCAGCACGCAGGCAACACAAGGTGGGTAGATCAGACACACACACACACACACACACACACACACCGAGCACACGGAGGGCGCACTTTTTCGCGGGGGCGGAGCGCTGTGTTGGGGTTGATGGTGCGGCGACTGACGGGGCAACAGGGGCGACATCCTGCTGCGGCATAAACGAGGCAGAGCCCATGCCTGACATGCCGGTGGAGCCAAACCCGCGGCCCCGCTCCCGCTCCTTCTGCAGCGCCTTTGCCTTGCGCTTCATAATGTCCTTCGCCTCGCGCTCTTTCGCCTGCACACACACGCGATCGTGTGTGCGTGAGAGAGAGAGAGAGAGAGAGAGAGAGAGAGAGAGAGAGAGAGAGAGTGTGTGTGTGTGTGTGTGTGTGTGTGTGTGTGAGAGAGAGAGAGTGTGTGTGTGTGAGAGTGTGTGTGCATATGTAGATGTTTGTGTGCGTGCCAGCATAATTTCAAGGGTGCCACCGTGCAAGGCACAGCGCGTGCATACGAAGCAGCAGCAGCAGCAGCACCTTTTGGCGCATCTTGAAGATTTGCTCATCGTGCGACTCCATCTCCGTGTACGTGCGGATGCGATACAGATCCACGTTTTCTCTGCACACGCAGTCGGCCATGGGCGAGAAAACGGTTGGCATTGCACGAAACAGACGCTCCAATGTCAGTGTGGTTGAGGGTGAGGGTGAGGATGCGTGCGGCCAGGTAGGCGCATGAAGCAAGCCACGCACCTGTAGCCGAGGGCGATGATCTCGTCAAAGGCAAAGATGAGCTCAAAGGCATGGGCGGCGACATCCCTCTCCGTGAAGGAGCGGCAGTACTCTGGTACCTGTGTTGCCATGAGCCAATCGAGTGACAATGAGAACATGGCAGGAGCAAGACATGGTGGTGGTGGTGGTGGTCATGAGCTGATGAAAAGAGCGTATTGATGCGGTCCACATTCACACCAAGAAAAGACGTACATGTGGCACGACAGCGTGCAGCCACCACTCGTAACAACTGACCACTTTGGCAAAGAGGCGCAGCGTCTCCAGATCCTCCAGGATGTTGCTGTTCTTTGTGGTGATGAGCACCATGTAGAGCTGTTCCATCGGCTGGTACACGTACCGCACCGTGTCTGCACACAAAGCATGTGTGTGTGTGGGTGAGAGAGAGTGTGTGTGTTTGTTTGTCGGTTTAATTGTTTGTTTGTTTGTTTGTTTGTTTGTTTGTTTGTGTCTTTGCTTGTTGAGTCTTTGTTTGTGCACATGTGTGTGTGTGTGTGTGTGTGTGACACGGCACCCGCTTGCCCTCGTGGTCGTGGCAACATTGACATCAGTGCAAGGAGTGCATTGCGGCGCACCGGTCTCGATGAAGGTGTGCTGGTCATCGGAGTTCATGAGCTTGGGGAAGGCTGCCAACAGACCCTCGACGCGGGACCTTGACATCTCCATGAACTGACGGGACACAACCACTGCAAGGGAAAGCACCAGCAAGCAAGCGCACATCCACACATGCACATGCCACAGGTCAGTTGTGAGCTGCACTGGTGACGACGACGGACACTCGCCCTGCAAAACCCAGCTTTGCACAATCGCACGAACATGCATGTTCGCACCTTTGCCTGCCTTTGTGCAGACTGCGGCAGAGAGAAGCACCTGCGAGACACACAAACGGCAGGCAACCATTGGACAAGAATGTGTCAGCTTCAACAAGCGTCACAACCACAGAGCAGGCGAGCGAGCAACAGAGCACACACCAACGCAAACAAGCGTTGCATGTCTGTGATGATGCACCTGTTGAAAACGCACCATTGTGTCGTGTGTGTGTGTTTGTGTGTTTGTGTGGAGAGAAAACGGGAGAGCGCGCGCGTGTGGCCTTTGCTTTTTTGCTTCTGGTGGTCACCAGCCAGCTCGCCAGCCAGACAGATCAGCTCAGTCTCTGTGCTCGTTGCTTCCTCAGCGTTGCTCTCTTGCTCTTGGCTGGTCTCGTCGTCGTCGTTGTGTATGCGCTGTTGGCTGTTTGTCGGTTCAGTCTTCTCCTGCCTGAGTTGCACTTTTCTTTATTTTGAAATGCAATTTTGGCTGAGATGGCCACACTTTATTGTAGAATTTATTCTCGTTCAACTTGTTTTTCCCACAACCACCAACCAGCCGACAGCACAAGAGTAGTTTAGTCGCGTCTGTTTTGGTTGTTTGGGTGGTTTGCTGGATGCACCACACTCCACACACACCCTGCCACACACCCTGCCACACACGCTGCCACACACGCTGCCACACACGCTGCCACACACGCTGCCACACACGCTGCCACACACACTCCACACACACTCCACACACAGAGTACACACACACTCTCCACACACCCTGCCACACACGCACACACACACACACAGACACACTGCACACCATCACCAACCATGTCCTTTCCAAAGGTGAGGGCGTTGCATGATTACACGGGCCGGAGCGAGATGGAGCTGTCGTTTAAGAAAGGCGACGTGATCACCGTGCTGGAGATTCGCGATGGCGACTGGTGGGAGGGTGAGCTGGACGGCAAGGAAGGGTTTGTGCCAGCAAGATATGTGGAGCACGCACCAACATGGTTCTATCCGGCATCCGCAGAGGACGGCGGCCACGGCAAGGCAAACAGCGCAGATGCAGGGGGTGACAGCGACACCGACCATGACGACAGCGAGGATGAGGAGCGGGACGCGCCGCCCCCGCCGCCACCGGCACCAGCCGGAACTGCCGATTCGCGACGACAGATGCCAACGCCCATGCGACACCTTCCACCCGACAGGCCCAACCTCGCCAAGGTGTGTGTGTGTGTGTGTGTGTGTGTGTGTGTGCGTGTATGTTTCTGTGTGTGTGTGTGTGTGTTTCTGTGTGTGTATTTCCCTGTGTGTGCATAAATGCGTGTATTTCTGTGTACTGGATACCAGTCTCATCGTTGCTGCTGCTGCGACCGTCTTGCTTTACAGGCCGTGATGATGCATCACACGAAACACAAGCACGACGTGAGCACCTCACACAAGGCTGGCTTGCACGAGTTCCAGCGTGCCGTGTCCAATGTCAGGAACAAGAAGGTACGTGCATGTGCGTGCATGTGCGTGCGTGTGTGTTCGTTTGGGTTGCATTTTCTGTGTTTGGTTGGCGTCGTACATGCGCACAAACGCGCAAGCCTCTAACTTCCATCCACCACCACCACCTCCTCCTCCTCCTCTGCACCAGCCCCAAACCACTCCAAGCGAGTCTGAGCTCGCGGCTGTGCTTCGCCGTCGCAACGAAGCCACCACCCTTGCACAGGTACATGTACACGTTCGCACGTAGATTTGTGCGCATGTGTGTTCTGTGCGTGTGCGTGTGTGCGCGTACATTGTTTGTACCTGTCCCCCACCCCATGTTGTTGAGCGCATACTTTTGTGTTTGTGACCTTCACCCCGTCTCTCCTCCAACGCCATCCACTCCAACGCCATCCTTCTCACCCCTCGCTCCGTTTGCAGATGGAGGAAGCGGAAAAGGAGCGCATGCCAGAATTGCAACGCCGCTTTTCCCAGCGGTTTCGAGACCAATCATAGCACATGTACACACCTGTTGCGCGCCCTTTCTCGCTCGCTTGCCTGTTTCCCTGTGTTGTAAAATCACGTGTCACGCCCATCACACTTGTTTGTTTGTGTTGCATGGCGAGTTTGCCGCTTCTTGTCCACACGTGCCCATGATCACTGCTCTGTCCATAGCCACTCCCTTGTCTTGCTTCGTTTACCGCCTTTGTAGGTGTACGTGTGTACGTGTGTTGTCTGTGCTGTGTGTTGTGCGAGGCTGCGTGTGCCTTGCCGTTGTTGTTGTTGTTGTTGTTGTTGTTGTTGTTGTTGTTGCCGAAGGCGAATTGACTGACCACTAAATGATATCGACCAGCATCATGGCCGCTGACGTTCCAAATTTGTGTTTGATGTGAGACGACACGAGACATAGAAAAGGCACAAGTACACAACACAAAGCGACACGGCGCGGTCAGCTTGGAAGCGAGGGGCGGCCAACCACCGCCACCGCCGTGCACCATCAACAACAGCAACAACACGGCTTCTCAACCCCCACGTCTTCGACCACCACCACCATCACCACCGCTACAGCACCACCTTTACCACGGTCGGCATCACGGCATGCGGAGGGCGCCGTCAATGCGAATGGTCTCGCCGTTGATGAGCGGGTTGTTGATGATGTGCTCCACCAGCATCGCGTACTCTGGCGGCGACCCCAGCCGCTGTGGGAACGGCACCTGCGAGCCAAGCTCGTTGCACACCTTCTCGCCAAGGCCGGCAAGCAGCTCCGTCTTGAAGAGGCCCGGCGCCACGGTGACGACGCGGATCTGGGAGCGGGCGAGGTCGCGGGCCATTGGCAGTGTCATGCCGACGATGGCGCCCTTTGACGCGGCGTAGGCAACCTGGCCAACCTGGCCCTCGTACGCAGCGATGCTCGCAGTGTTGATCACCACGCCGCGCGTCGCATCCGGCTCGTGCACCTGCACGCAATGGGCGTGAGTGAGCGCGCGTGTGTGTGTGCAGTGAGTGAGTGAGTGTGTGTGTGTGTGTGTGCAGTGAGTGAGTGTGTGCAGTGAGTGAGTGAGTGAGTGTGTGTGTGTGCGCAGTGAGTGAGTGTGTGTGTGTGCAGTGAGTGAGTGAGTGTGTGTGTGTGTGTGCGCAGTGAGTGAGTGAATGAGTGCAGTGAGTGTGCAGTGAGTGAGTGAGTGAGCGAGCGAAACAGTGTGACAGTCTGCGAGTGAGTGCAATTCGTAAGTGCAATGTTAATGCGAGCAAAATCATCACAACACTGTGAAGCGTTGGGGATACCTCGTTCTCCATCATTTGGGCAATGGCAAGGCGGTTCACGTTGAAGGTGCCTGCAAGCAAGCAAGTGTCGTAAAGAGTAGACATGAACATGAGCAACATTGCAGCGCACGGGCGAAACTTAGCAAACAAACACACAAAAGCAGCATATCACCGCTGTACACCCAGTCGCTTGCCCGCTGTCATTGACTGACTGACTGACTGACTGACTGACTGACTGACTGACTGACTGACTGACCGATGGTGTTGATGCGCAGAGTCTTCTCAAACGCCTCGAGTGGATGAGGCCCTTTCTTCGGGTGCCATGTCTTGATGGCAGGCGCAACTCCTGCACAAGATGGTGTTTGGGTATTGTTTGTGTGAGCGGTACTTGACCGAAAGGACACGTGACTGCCACGGGTTTCACGTACACACACACACACACACACACACACACACACACACACACACACACACACACACACAGATGCGACGCACCGGCGCAGTTGATGACGGCGTTGACAGGTGCACCAAACTCCTTCTTGGCAGCCTCAAGCAGCGAGAGGACCTGTTCGCCGTCAAAACGGGGAGTTAGTTGTTGAGCGAGACAAAGGCTGTCATGTGTGTGAGTGTGCGAATGTGTGCATGTGCATGTGCATGTGCACATGTTGTTTGCCGCAGCAGATACAGACAATACACACATACACACACCTGCTCCTCGGAGGTGACGTCTGTGGGCTGGAAGATGCAGTTGCTACCAAGCTTCTCACGCGCAGCACCGCCGACTTCAGCAGACACGTCCGCAATGGCAACCTAAGAGGAAACGGGCGGGGGAAACGGGCGGGGGAAACGGGCAAAGTATGTGTTGGAGCTCCAAGAACACACACACGCACTCTTGAACCCTCTGCAAAGCACCATTGAACATGCTTGACACACATACATAACACACACACACAAACACACACACAGATACACTAACAGAAACGCACACATACACACAACAACAACAACAACAACAACAACAACAACAACAACAACAACAACAACAGTCGTGCATGCAAACGCACCTTGGCGCCTGCACCGACGAGGCGGGAGGCCGCAGCAAAGCCCAGGCCCCTGGCACCACCAGTGATGATGGCTCGCACAGCAGAGGTGTTCATTGTGGGTTGAGGTGTGAGTGGCAGTGGCGGTGGTGGTGAAAACAGGCAGCGACAGCAAAAAAGAAATGCAGCCACAAACCAGCCAACCAACTTCCCACCTCCCTTTCGTTTTGTTGTGTTGATTGACATGGACGGGGTGTATGAGTTTGTGTGCGAGGAGCAGAACAATGCGCCCTATTTGGCACAGCTCAAGCCCCGGGCGGGCTTTGATACAGCCATCGAAGCGGTGAGTTCACCACAGGGAGGTGTGTGTGTGTGTGTGTGTGTGTGTGTGTGTGTGTGTGTGTGTGTGTGTGTGTGTGTGTGTGTGTGTGTACTTCTGTGTTGTCCGCGTTTGTTCCCACTCCTGTTCCTTGTTCTCGTTCTTCCTGGTTGTTGCTGTGTATTTGTCTTGTTCTCCCTGCTGCTTCTGTCTTGCTTGTAGTCTGTTGCTGTTGATCAACCCTCCTGTCCTGGTCACCCACCCACAGGTGGCAGCCGGTGGGGAGAAGGGCGCACCGCGCATGACACTGACATTGTCTGGCAATGGCGGGGTGGGTTTCCTGCGATCCAATGCGCATGCGCAACCCTGCAAACGCAGAGACCTGCCAAAACACAAGTGCTTTGATTTGGGTCTTCAGCATCGCCAGCTGGCGGTCTCGTCAATAAACGCCCATTTCCTTGCACTCACCCTGCCTCACTTATCTCGACTCCAACCAAATCAGGTGTTCTCTGTGGCAGAGAAGCAGTTCAATCTCCTCTTTGGGCCGCAGGGAACAGGACCCAAGCCAGAGTGCCTCATTTTCGGTGCGAGAGATGCGATGTGATGTGTGCGTGCGAGTGTGTGTACGTGTGTGTGTGTGCGTGCGTGCGCACGCGTGTGTGTGTTTGTATGTTTGGGTCTTGCAAGTTGTGCTCTGTGCCTTGCTTTGAAGAGTTTTGCTTCTGCGTACCAACACTTTCCTACACATGCACACACATGCACACAAACGCACGCTTGCGTGTTCTGGGCGTCCACAGATCAGCACAGATTCACATCCATCGGAGCAATCAAGCAGGTAATCGGACTCACCCCGCTTGATAGCTCGCGCAAGTGTGCGTGCGTGCGTGTGCGTGCGTGTGCGTGTGCAGAAATATATGTCGATGATATGCATGTTTGCGCGCTGATATCGGTTCACCTGCGTATCCTTGAACCCACTTCTTATCTGCTGCAGGTGGCCAACGTCACGCCCAGGCGAAGTGCATCCTCACAGCCACGCACTCCCATCTCATCCGGTACTTTGCTCTTTCTTGTTGCACTGTCCCTTCACTGGCCCTGGGCTTTGCTTGCGGCGTTTCTGCTGCCGCCTCTCATGCCATCGTCACGTTCCCATTGCGTGCTCAATCTCACGCATGTGTGTGCGTGTGTTCGGACACCATTGCACACCAGGCATGCCACGGAAGACGCGCAACAGCAGCGGTGTTGGGCGAACACCAACCACCCTCACCCTCACAAGCTCAACCGCTGGCCGCCGCCGCGTACGTGCAACCACGCGTTCGCGTGTATATGTGTTTGTATGTATGCAAGAAATTGTGTGAAAGCGTGTTTGCGTGAACCTTCAGGCGAGCTTTTGCTGGCGTGTGTCCATGTGCGGTTGCTCTGTGTGACCACACAATCCTCTCACACCACCAACGACGCATGTCTCTCCTTGTTGCGAGCAGCGAGCCAAGAAGGCGCCAATGATTGCCACAGCACCCAAACCATCGTCATCATCATCATCATCATCGTCATCGTCTGTGACACCGCCGCCGTCCAGCACGACGACAGCACCAGCGCCGCCTCGCGTCTCCCCAAACGGGTTGCGCAAGGCCACAACAGCTTCGCCGACAAAGATTGCTGCCAAGCTTGCATCAAGGACATCACCCAAACCGTCGTCATCGTCATCAATGACATCATCATCAATGACATCATCATCATCGTCGTTGGGTGGGCAGCTGACGGCTGCGGAGTACCGGGCCAAGCGGGAGGCGTTTGCTGTGCAGTTGAAGGAATACAGAGCATTGGAGAAGAAGATTGAGGCCGAGATCAACGTGTTCTCAGAAGTTGGGCGCAGGTAGGTCTATGTGTGTGTGCATGTGTGCAAGTGTGCATGTGTGCATGTGTGCGTGCAAGTGTGTGTGTGCATGTGTGCAAGTGTGTGTGTGCATGTGTGCAAGAGTGTGTATGCAAGTGTGTGTGTATACATGTGTGTGTGTGTGTTGGAATTGTTGCTGCATTTCCTCACCACCACCACTCACACAACCAACCACCCACCAATGACCACCCACCAGCTACCGGGAGGCAAAAGACGAGGCGATGCGCAGCAGCACGGCGGAGGTCCTGCAGAAGATGTACGCAAAGAAGCACAAGGTGCGGTGTTGTCTGCAGGCACGTCGCACACACGTTTGTGCACAAGTTGACCTTTGTGTGTGCGTGTGTGTGCGTGTGTGTGTGTGTGTGTGTGTGTGTGTGTGTGTGTGTGTGTGTGTGTGTGTGTGTGTGTGTGTGTGTGTGTGTGTGTGTGTGTGTGTGTGTGTGTGTGTGCGTGCGTGCGTGCGTATGCACATGCTCATGCACGACTCCCTCCTCTCTGTGTGTGTGTGTGTGTGCAGGAGTTTGATGCGATGATGGTGCGGTATGACGCCATGAACACGCGACTCAAGGCCATGCAGCGTGCACTCAAAGCACACGAGCAGCAACAGCAACAACAGCAGCCAGAAGTGGCTGCAACGGAAGGCTAACGGAAACGGAAAGACGTCATCAAATCAGAAACAAGAAGAAGACAACACACGAACCCTAACTTAAGCAGCGATGAAAGACTACAAGCCAAGTTGCGCGCGCACATTCCTTACACACGACTGCAAGCGGCGCACATGTTTTTGTGTGTGTGTGTAAGTGTGTGTGTGCATGGCTAACTCCTCTCTCAATAAACGAGACTACATAACCAAATGAAGGGCCACAAATCGCTAGGTTGGAAGGTTTACTGTTCTTGGGCTTGTTGAACACGAAACACATTGATGTGAATGCAACACATTTCATCCCAAACACGCACGCTGCTCACACACATCCGCACATCCGCACCCACACATCCAATACATCACACCCACACATCCACATCCACACACATGCACGTAACACACATCAGCACAACGTCACGTCTCCACCACCACCACCACCATCCGGTTGGCGTGGCGCCTAGATGAGCTTCTTCTTCTGAAAGTAGCGGCGCAGGTACCACACCTGCACGCAGCGGCCACATCCGTACCAATGACGTGGTGGTGGTGGTCGTGTAGTGTGGTGTAGGGGAATGCGATGGTGCGTGTGAGCGTTGTCTCGCATGAAGGAGCACGGTGCAGAAAGGCTCACTGATCGTTGTGAACGGATATGCACACAGACACAGGCACAGACACGCATAGACACAGACACACATAGACACAGACACACGCACACATACATTCACACAGCAAGCACATGTGCATGCGACGGACCTGCCAGACGCCAAAGACGACGAGGCAGCCGATGGAGATGAGGCTGAAGGTCAGCATACGCTCGGCGGTCAGCTCTGGTTTGTCATAGGGGCGGAAGGTGGGGTGAAGTGAGGACGGGAAGCGAGCAAAGCAGATGGAGAAAGAACAAGTGTGCGCGTGTGCGTGCGTGTGTGTGTGCTACCACAGAAACAGACAGACAGATACACACAGACACAGACACAGGCACAGGCACAGACAGATGGACATACACGCATACAGATACAAACCCACACACCGTTTGTGTCGCGGTGCTGCCTCTCGCGGTCCTTCATGATGGCAAAGGAGCGAACAATGGCCGAGCTCATGTCCTCCAGCCGCTTCAGGTTCGCCTCAATCGGCTGCAGCTTCTCTGCTTTGGCAAGCTGCGCACAGTTGGCGGGGGTGGTGGGAGACGAGGAATGAGAACCGAGCAGGGCAGTGGGGTGTCTTTGGACATTGCACCACTGAGCATCCACACACACCGCAGACAGACAGATAGCCACGCACAGACAGACAGACAGACAGACCGAGACACACACACACCTCCTCGTAACTGCGAGCCTCCATGCCAATCTTCACGTTCAGGCTAATGTCCACGGTGCTGTCGGCACGGTGCTCTGTAGACGTCACACAAAACGTAAACATGGAACACACACACACACACACACACACACACACACACACACACACACACACACACACACACACACACACGCATACGCAAATCACGCACGAATTGTGAGCAGCAGCAAAGGGGTGATTGAGTGGTTCACGTCTCGCATGTGACCTGGCACGCGACTGCCCGATTTTGGATGTTGCGTGGGAAACGTACTGTCGTCAAGATAGGACTTGAAGCAAATCTCAAAGACGTCGTAGTCATCCGATGTGAAGGCAAACTTCCCCTTCTGTGCATCCTCCTTTCTGTACACGGGGTGACCTCGCGAATCCGTAATCTGTGGCGAGACGCATCAAGTATGTGAGTGAGTGAGTGAGTGAGTGAGTGAGTGAGTGAGTGAGTGTGAGTGAGTGAGTGTGAGTGAGTGAGTGAGTGTGAGTGAGTGTGTGTGTGTGAGTGTGTGTGTGTGTGTGTGTGTGTGTGTGTGTGTGTGTCGCTGCGTGTTCAGGGCCAAGAAAGTGAAAGGCGCTGTACTCACGCACACCTCAAACAGCGTACCCCAAGACAAGAATTGCACCCAAACGCACACATTTACACTCGCACACACGCTATTTACACTCACACTGACACAACTCACTCACCCCACCTCCTCTTGTCCCACCACACACACAGACACACAAGACACACACAGCCACACACAGACACACACCGTTTCGCTTGTTCTCCCCCCCCCCCATGTTTCGTACCTCGAGGTTGATTTGCAGGGCTGGTGATTTGCTAACCTCATACTCCCCCACAACCAGCACATCTTTGTCCACGTCCTCTTGCAAACACTTGCGCGTGTTTGCGCCGAGTGTGAACGAGATGGCTGTTGAGTATTGTGTCAAACACAACAACACAACCACCGCACTCGCCACAACGTGGCGGAAACAGCTCTTGCTCTCCATCGCCTGCATTTGTGACAGCAAGAGAGCGCGTTGTTGACATGAGAACGCAGCGAACGTGGTTGTTGTTGGTGTCAACGAACACACGATCTTACACGTGCGTACATTTGAACGTTCATGCATTTGTTCGTTCGGGCATTCGTCGCGTGCTAATGCACACGCATGCACACACATGCACAGACACACACAAGCATACGCATCCATACATCCATATCCGCGCTCACAGACACAAGCCAGTGCCAACAAGCAAGCAAGCACACCTCTGCTCTCTTGTTGTCTCTCCTTGCCCCTGTGGCCAACGACCAGTGGAAAATTGTAGACAAGAAAGCCAATTTTCAGCGCCTGCTGCAGCCAAATTCGAAACACAACAACAGTCGCAACCGTCCTGTCTTTGGCCATCCACCTGCCTGCATCCTCTCCTCCTGCCACACACCTCCAGCTTGCACCCTCACTTGTATGGAGTCACAGCGCCGGCGAGGGCCGCCTCAGCCCTCAATGCACCAACAACCAAGCAAGGAGGCACTCGTGTCTGCGTCAAGGCTGCTGGATTTATCTGGGGACGACGCAAGCGGAAGGAACAGCTGGCTGTTTGCGTCACAGCCACCTGGTCATGACGGTGGTCCTTCCACCCACTCACAGCACCATCACATGCGACGCGAGGCGCCTGCTTCATCCCTGGCCGCGCCAAACGAGCTCGCACTCTCCGTGCTTCGACGCCACCTCCAAGGTACAGAGCAGCAACAGCAGCAACAACGGCAACGGCAACAGCAAAGGCAACAGCAACATTGGCAACAGCACACTGAGCACAAGCAGCCGCGACAACAGACACAACACCGAAAAAAGAACGAGGCTCAGGCCCTTGCCGAGGAGATCGCAGCACAGCTTCCATCCAACGCAGATCCCAACACAACATTTGAAATTCATGAGGCACCCGCAAAGGTATTGCATGTACTCGTTTCTGCATGCGTATCCAACACACACGCACACACACTCAGACCTACACACCTACACTACACGCACACGCACACACACGCACACACACATGCACACACACATGCACACACACACATCTACACACACACACATGCTCACGCACACACACGCACACACACATGCACACACACATCCACACACACACACACATGCACACACACACCTCCACACCTACACGCACACTCCTACACTCGCTCACTCACGCACACCTACACACACTCGCTCACACGCACCTACACCCACGCACACTCATTCCTGAGTGCTTGCAGGCATTGGACATTCCTGTTACGCAGCGCGTTTTTCATGATCTCCCCAGCATACAGCAGCAACCTGAAGCGGCAAAACCAACAGAGTATGCAAAGCCAAAGAAGTATCGAAACACAAAGCCGCGCGTGCGCCAATCCTCCCAGCTGACCTGCCAGCCCATGTAAGTCAGCTCATGGCAGCGGCATTCCTTCGTCCGCAACCCCCAGTGAGCTATGTTTATGTTGCAGTTGACCACGTTGTACACTCCCGCTCGCAGCAGACACCCATGCTACATCACTGCTCCATCTCGAACATTCACATATCAATCAAAACTGCAGAGAGGACATTGATCTCAGCTTCCGATCCTTTGACCTTATTCCCCCACCGCACCGGTTCGTATTGCACTGTCTGTGTGTGTGTGTGTGTGTGTGTGTGTGTGTGTGTGTGTGTGTGTGTGTGTGTGCGTGCGTGTGTTTGGGTTTACATGTACATGTCTGACTCAGAGTCAACGACTTTTATCGCGTCCGGAGACGCTGAAGCGAGCTGGTACTCAGTTTTCACTCCACACCTGTATTCACATCAAGCGCATGCTTGCTTGCTGCTGCACCACCATGCCGTCACTGGGGCAAACAGGACAACGGCAGCACGAGCACCACCGCCAACTGACCGGTCTTTCGAGCGCGCCACCTTTCTCAGTCGACACGGCGTCGAGTGACACCGTGCGCATATGTGTGTGTGTGTGTGTGTGCATGTGCGCCGAGTTACAAATGTGTCAACGATGTTCATCCTGCAGGACATGTACAGCTGACTACCTTCCTCTCGCCTGCCCCGTTGCTTCCCTTCCCCTCCCTTCTGGTTACCTTGTGTGTTTGTTTATTGCGACCTCTGTACAAACGTATAATCGCAAACACTGCTGTGTGTGCGTGTAAACGACGACCGACCACGATACGACACAAACGAAATGGTGTACAGCACAACAGGACACCACCACACGTATTCACGCCTCACTGCGGGGCTGGAAACTTCACATCCACCCCCTGTTGTTGTTGCTGTTGCTGCTGCTGTTGTTGTTTCTCTTGGTCCTCCTTGTCGCCCAGCTCTGTGAAGTGGGCGCCCATCACCTTGAAATACTCCTTGAAGAACCGGAGCACCTGCTCGTTTGCAGTGTTGTTGGTTGGGCAAATTCGCAACGTGAGCCACAATGTATGTATGTATGTGTGTGTGCGTATGTGTGTGTGTGTATGTATGTATGTATGTATGTATGTATGTATGTATGTATGTATGTATGTATGTATGTATGTATGTATGTATGTATGTATGTATGTATGTATGTATGTATGTATGTATGTATGTATGTGTGTGTGCGTGTGTGTGTGTGTGTGCGGCTAGCTGCTGTTGCGCTTACCTTGTCGTTGTTTGCGTATTTCTTCTTTGCTGCTGCAGGGTCCTTCTGAAAGTCCGACAGTGCTTCAACAAACGATGGGTCTGTCAGCGTGCAGCAGGGCCAACAAGCAGGGATGAGTTGCTCAAACCGACACCACGAACACGACCAAGAGCAAAACAATGACTCAAAACACAACACGCACACGCACACGCACGCAAGCACAAACACAAACGCAAACACAAAACCACACACACACACACACACGCACGCACGCAAGCACAAACACAAACGCAAACACAAAACCACACACACACACACACACACACACACACACACACACACACACACACACACTTACATGCTCTCACACACCTGACAGACACTGGAGAAGGAAAGGGTTGCTTTGAAACCGCTTGAGGAGGTCCGCGTTCAGCCACTGATCCTCTGCAACAAAACAACACCAAGTACAGCAGGAACCGACTTGGCAGTGAGAAGAATTCAAAAGGTGGTTCACACCCTCTGCGCGTCACACCAGCTGACAAACACACAAGTGCAACGAACAAGGAGCGCCTGCTGAAATGGAAAGAAGATGACCACACGCACTTGTCCGCTCGAGAAACGGCGTCGCTTCACGAAGAGACTCTTGGACCTCAGGCAGCACGCCAACGGGCGTGTCCTTCGCCGACGCCTTGGGCCGAATCGTCTCAATCTCCTCCACCTTTTTCTTGGGTGCTGTTGTTGCCCTCTTCTGTCTGCTCTGCGCCGTCTTCTTCTTCGCTGGCTTGCTGTCGCTGCCCAGTCCGCCAGATAGGAACCCTTTGGAGAAGCCACCAAAGAAGCCGCCGCCGCCGCCGCCGCCACTGCTGCCACTTTTCGCGCTGCTCTTGCTCTTTGTTGCCTGCTTCCTCTGTGTGGTTGATGTGTTGCTGCTGGTAGTTGCCTTTGTTGGCCGTGCAGTGGCTGTGGACGACTTTGTCGCCGCATTTGTTGGCGTGCCACTGCTGCTCTTCGCGGTGTGCTTGGTGGTGGTTGTTCTTGCCGAAGACGATGAGCTCGGTGTCGTTGCAGTGGCTTGTTTCAGCTGCCGCAGCTTCCCCAGCAGCGCAAGCTCTTCCTCCATGTCCTCCAAAGGAGGTGGAAGATCGTCATCATCAGCCATACTCTATGTGTGTGTGTGTGTGTGTGTGTGCGTGTGTGTGTGTGCGTGCGTGCTTCACTTTGTTGTTTGCTTCTCGCTCTTTGGCGTCGTTACGGAACGTTTAATGAAGTTATGTTATTCACAGAATTCAGCACTCACAGCAACGTTGATGACTGTGGTGGTCTTGTTATTGTTGTTGTTGTTGTTGTTGTTGTTGTTGTTGTTGTTGTTGTTGTTGTTGTTGTTGTTGTTGTTGCTGCTGCTGTGGTTGTTGTTGTTGTTGCTGTGGTTGGTGTTGTTGTTGTGTTTGTGGTGTTGGCGCTGAGGGCTCGGCAGTGGAGGAGGACAGTGGCGGCTTTGCAAAGATGCTGCTCAGATCAAAGCCATCTGTTGTGTTGTGACCTGTGCTCGCAGCAGCGTCGGTCGTCGCAGGCGTTGTGCCCGCACTTGTCGCCGCTGCTGTCGGCTGCTTGAGCCACCACCGACCGCCGCATATGCAAGCAGCGGAGAACGCGCGTTGCCACCACCAGTCCCGCCCACACTCCACCGAGGCATCGTAGACCAGGCCGCAGCTGTCACAGATGTGCATGGATGCAAGCCAGACAGCACAAAATGGAATTACAACACAATCAAGCATTCCAACCGAAGACGGAAACGAAGGAAGGATGACGTGGGAGACACAGCGAGAAGCGTGCCCCCCCCCCCAAACACACACACACACACACACACACACACACACACACACATATATGCATACCGTGGGCAGGCCTTGAAGGGGAGATCCCGGTGCTCTGGTCGGCTCACTGTCCAGTGCGCCACGTTCATCGCCACATCAGGCAGCAACCGCTCCTCCTCTGCAATTGCGTGCAAGTGTGCGTGCAAGTGTGGGTGTGTGGGCATGTGTTAGTGTGAAGCGTGTGTGAAGTGAGTGAGGTGAGTTGGGGTTTGGAAGTGCAACGTTGAAACGCCCGCGGCTGAGGACATCAGCGCGCAAGACCTACGAAACCTCATCGCTGCATTCTGTACAGCAGCCATTACCAGCCGCACCACACCGCCATCCAGCACACGCCAAACTCAAACAGGCAAACTCCTCTCAAACTCGATCAAACACGCACTGATGAGGTGCCCCATGCCAAGGTCCGCCAGGGCTTGGTCAAGCGTGGGCCCAACTGTGTCCAGGAATGTGTACTGCGTGCAGGTGCCTGGCGATTTCAGCAGCTTATGCAACCTGGAAGATGTCAAGGTCGGTGCCATGGCCCTCAGCTGCAAGCACAAGGCATGCATTATTTGCAGCGTGAGCGTCGACGCGCGAAAACGCCGCATGCTGAAGCCCATCTGCTGCTGCAGCAGCGCGGCGTGCTGTTGGCGCGACATGTGCTGTTGCGACGGCTGCTGGTGATGCGGGTACTGTTGCTGCTGTGGGTAGTGTTGTGGGTGTTGCTGTTGCTGATAGTGCTGGGAGGACCGTGGTTGCTGGTACATGTGCTGCGGTGTGCCCTGTGTTGCGCCGGGCGTGGAGCGCTGCGCAGGGCTGCTGCTTTCATCGCCACCGTCCATCCCATCCACCTGCATCAAGCGAGGACCGCCGGGCACGGGTGTAGTGGAGGTGGAGGAGGAGGAGGAGGACGTGGTCATTGCTGTCGTTGCTGGTGCTGGTGAAGGAGTTGTGCCTCCTACTGCTGGTGCTGGTGCTGATGCTGGTGCAGTGAACACAGCGGCTGGTGGTGGCATGGATGCAGTGGTGGTTGTGGTGGTGGTGGAGGAAGCATTGTCTGGTGTTGTGGATGGAAAGAGGACCGGTGGGTGGACCTCGTCATATGCAGAGTCGCCATGTGACACAGCGTCGCACAGCACCAACAGCGTGTGCATTGCCACCAGCGCGGGGCCAACCGACACACAGCCCTCCCCCTTGTGGTGCATAGCGGTTGAAGCAGAGGGGAGGAGAGGAAAGAGGGAGTAAAGGGGGGGGGGTTGAAGGGTGAGAAGGTGAGGTGTTGTTTGCACGGGCCAATGCTGTCGTCACACAGACACAGACGCACAGGACGCACAGGACGCAAACACAGAGACACACAGAACTGACACAGCACCTGCAACAGGAAGAAGTATGACTGGTCATGTGCAATCATCTTGAGGATGCGGACAAAGGCGACCATGGCCCGCGAGCTCGCAACCGCCAGCGGCGCAATCCCCGCAATGAAGCCTGGGAAGCGGGTAGGTGTGTGTGTATGTGTGTGTGTGTGACGAGAGAAGAGCTGAAGAAGAACCATTGCACGACAACGACGACGCACGCGACAGACAACACACACACACACACACACACACACACACACACACACACAACACACACACAACACACAGACACACACACGAACCTCCTGGAAGGGACTGGACGTCTGCATGTGTGAGGCCAGTGGATACGAGGGCGGTGTCGAGACTAAACGACGACGTCTTGGGCGGAACAACCACTGGCAGGCGCAGCTGATGTTCACAAGGCAATATGGAGAGGATGTTTGGGGGGGGTCAAGGATGCGGAGCGTGAATTATGGACTGAATGAAGCGCTGTGATGCTGGTGGCACCACAGTCATGAACTGCACACATGGAGGACGTACGGAAACACACAGAAACATACACAGACACACAAACAGAGACACAGACACACAAACAGACACAGAAACAGACAGACACACACACACACACACGCACACACACACACACGAGCACACTAACAGGTAGTGTGGAACTCACGTGTGGAAGGACTTTGCGGAAGGCGGCAGTCATGAGGTTTGAGAGGTGGTGGATCACGAGTACGAGAAACGGGTACATGTTGATGTACGGTGTGCTGTTGAAGAGGAGGAGGAGGAGGAGGAGGAGGAGGAGGAGGAGGAGGAGGAGGAGGAGGAGGAGGAGGAGGAGGAGGAGGAGGAGGAGGAGGAGGAGGAGGGAGGGTAGGGTA